GTCCAGGAAATACAGAGAACATGACAAAGATATTCCTCAAGAAGAGCAACCCCAAGTCACATAATTGTCAGATTAACCAGGCTTGAAATGAAGGAAAAAATGCTAAGGTCAGCCAGAGAAAAAGGTCGGGTTACTCACAAAGGGAAGCGCATCAGACTCACAGCAGTTCTCTCATCAGAAACCCTACAAGCCAAAAGAGAGTGGGGACCAATATTTGACAACCTTAAAGAAAAAATCTTGCAACATAGAATTTCATATTTGGCTTGATATGAACTAAGCTTCATAAGCGAAGGTGAAATAAAATCATTTCCAAACAAGCAATTGCTGAGAGATTTCATCACAGCCAGGCCTGCCTTACAAGAGCTCCTGAAAGAAGCACTAACATAGAAAGAAAAACCAGTGCAGCCACTCCAAAAATGTACCAAATGGTAAAGAGCATCAACACAATGAAGAAACTGCATCAACTAACAGGCAAAAAACAACAAGCTAGCATCCAAATGGCAGGATCAAATTCACGCATAACGATATTAATGCTAAATGTAAATGGGCTAAATGCCCGAGTCAAAAGACACAGACTGGCAAATTGGATGAAAAGTCAAAACCCATTAGTGTGATGTATCCAGGAAACCCATTTCACATGCAAGGACACACATAGTCTCCAAATAAAGGGATGGAGGAAGATTTACCAAGTAAATGGAGAGAAAAAAAAAAAACAAAAAAAACAGGAGTTGCAATCATCCTAGTCTCTGATAAAATAGACTTTAAACCAACAAAGATTAAAAGAGACAAGGGCACTACCTAATGATAAAAGGATCAATGCAAATACATACGTGGTCAATGCAGGAACTCCCAGATATATAAAGCAAGTTCTTAACGACCTACAAAGAGACTTAGACTCCCACACAATAATACTGGGAGACTTTAACACTCCACTGTCAATATTAGACAGATCAGTGAGACAGAAAAATAACAAGGATATACAGGACTTGAACTCATATCTGGAACAAGCAAACCTAATAGACATCCACAGAACTCTCCACCCCAAATCCACAGAATATACATTCTTCTCAGCACCATATCACACCTACTCTAAAACTGACCACATAATTGTAAGTAAATCACTCCTCAGCAAATGCAAAAGAAGAGAAATCATAACAGTCTCTCAGACCACAGTGCAATCAAAGTAGAACTCAGGATTAAGAAACTAACTCAGAACTGCACAACTTCATGGAAACAGAACAACTGGCTCTTGAATGTTGACTAGATAAACAATGAAATGAAGGCAGAAATAAAGATGTTCTTCAAAACCAATGAGAATAAAGATACAACGTACCAGAATCTCTAGGACACATTTAAATCAGTGTCTAGAGGGAAATGTATATCAATAAATGCTCACATGAGAAGCAAGAAAAGATCTAATATCGACAACCTATCATCAAAATTGAAAGAGCTAGAGGACCAAGATCGAAAAAACTCAAAACCTAGCAGAAGACAAGAAATAACTAAGATCAGAGCAGAACTGAATAAGATAAAGACACAAAAAAACCTCTAGAAATCAATAAATCCAGGAGCTGGTTTTTTGGAAAGATCAACAAAATAGACAGACCTCTAGCCAGATTAATCAAAAAAAGAGAGAGAAAGAAGAATCAAATAGATGCAATAAAAAACGATAAAGGAGATATGACCATAGATTCCACAGCAATATGAACTACCATCAGAGATTACTACAAAAAACTCTATGCACATAAACCAGTAAACCTGGAAGAAATGGATAAATTCCTTGACACTTGCACCTTCCCAAGCCTAAACCAGGAAGAAGTCGAAACCCTGAATAGACCAATAACAAGGGCTGACGTTGAAGCAGCAATTAATAGACTACCAACCAAAAAAAGCCCAGGTCCAGATGTGTTTACAGCTGAATTCTACCAGACATACAAAGAAGAGCTGATACCACTCCTTCTGAAACTGTTCCAAACAATATAAAAAGAGGGAATCCTTCCCAAATCATTTTAAGAGATCAACATCATCCTGATACCAAAACCCGGGAGAGACTCAACAAGAAAAGAAAACTTCAGGCCAAGATCCATGATGAACATAGATGCAAAAATCTTCAATAAAATACTGACAAACCGATTGCAACAGCACATAAAAAAACTTTCCCATCACGATCAAGTAGGCTTCATCTGGGAGATGCAAGGCTGGTGCAACATATGCAAGTCTATAAACATAATCCACCACATCAACAGAACCAAAGATAAAAACCATGTGATCATCTCAATAGATGCAGAGAAGGCCTTCTCAAAATTCAACAGTGCTTTATGCTAAAAACTCTCAATAAACTAGGTATCAACAGATCATATCTCAAAATAATAAAAGCTATTTATGACAAACCCACAACCAATATACTGAATGGGCAAAAACTGGAAGCATTCCCTTTGAAATCTGGCTCTAGACAAGGATGCCCTCTCTCACCACTCCTATTCAATATAGTATTGGAAGTTCTAGACAGAGCAATCAGGCAAGAAAAAGAAATAGGGGTATTCAGTTAGGAAAGGAGGAAGTCAAATTGTCTCTATTTGCAGACAACATGATTATATATTTAGAAGAGCTCATCATCTCAGCCCAAAATCTCCTGAAACTGGTAAGCAACTTCAGCAAAGTCTCAGGATACAAAATCAATGTGCAGAAATCACAAGCATTTCTATTACACCAAAAACAGACTTAAAGAGAACCAATTTAAGAACAAACTGCCATTCACAATTGCTACAAAGAGAATAAAATACCTAGGAATATAATTAACAAAGGATGTAAAGGACCTCTTCAAGGAGAACTACAAACCACTGCACAAGGAAATAAGAGAGGACACAAACAGATGGAGAAATATGTCATGCTCATGGTTAGGAAGAATCAATATTGTGAAAATGGCCATACTGCCCAAAGTAATTTATAGATTCAGTGCTATCCCCATCAACCTACCTAAGACCTTCTTCACAGAAATGGAGAAAACCACCTTAAATTTCTTTTGGAACCAAAAGAGAGCACACATAACCAAGACAATTCTAAGCAAAAAGAACAAAGCTGGAGGCATCACACTACCTGACTTCAAACTATACTACAAGTCTACAGTAATCAAAACAGCATGGTACTGGTACAGAAACAGAGATATAGACCAATGGAACAGAACAGAGGCCTTGGAGGCAATGCCACACATCTACAACCATCTGATCTTTGACAAAACTGACAAAAACAAGCAATGGGGAAAGGATTCCCTGTTTAATAAATGGTGTTGGGAAAACTGGCTAATCATGTGCAGAAAGCAGAAACTGGACCCTTTCCTGACATCTTACACTAAAATTAACTCCAGATGTATTAAAGACTTAAACATAAGACCTAAAACCATAAAAGAAAAATTAGAAGAAAACCTAAGCAAAATCATTCAGGACATAGGCATAGGCAAGAACTTCATGACAAAACACGAAAAATATTGGCAACAAAAGCCAAAATAGACAAATGGTATCTAATTAAACTCCAGAGCTTTTGCACAGCAAAAGAAACATCATTAAAGAAACTGGCAACCAACAGAATGGGAAAAAATTTTTGCAATCTACCCATCTGACAAAGGGCTAATATCTAGAATCTACAAAGAACTAAAAAAGGTTTACAAGAAAAACGAACAAACCCATTCAAAAATGGGCAAAGGAGATAAACACTTTTCAAAAAAAGACATTTATGAGACCAACAAACATATTAAAAATGCTCATCATCACTGGTCATTAGAGAAATGCAAATCAAAACAACATTGAGATACCATCTCACGCCAGATAGAATGGTGATCATTAAAAATCTGGAGACAACAGATGCTGGAGAGGATGTGGAGAAATAGGAACACTTTTACACTGTTAGTGGGAGTGTAAATTAATTCAACCATTGTGGAAGACAGTGTGGTGATTCCTCAAGGACCTAGACATAAAAATGCCATTTGACGTGGCAATCCGCGTCTGGTTATATATCCAAAGGATTTTAAATCATTCTGTTATAAAGACACATGCACATATATGTTCATTGCAGCACTGTTTACAATAGCAAAGACCTGGAACCAACCCAAATGCCCATCGATGATAGACTGGACATGGAAAATGAGGCACTTATACACCATGGAATACTATGCAGCCATAAAAAAACGATGAGTTTGTATCCTTTGTAGGGACATGGATGAATCTGGAAACCACCAATCTCAGCTAACTGACACAAGAACAGAAAATCGAACACTGCATGTTCTCACTCACAGGCGGGTGGTGAACAATGAGAACACATGGACACAGGGAGGGGAGCATCACACACTGGAGTCTGTTTGGGGGGACTAATGGAGGGACAGCGGGGGTAGGGAGGTTAGGGTGGGATAACATGGGGAGAAATGCCAGATATAGGTGCGGAGGGGTGGAGGCAGCAAACCACCTTGCCATGTACGTACCTATGCAACAATCTTGCATGCTCTTCACAGGTACCCCAGAACCTAAAGTGCTATAATATACATAGATGATAGATATAGATATAGATATAGATATAGATATAGATATAGATATAGATATAGATAGATTGACCCAAAGTGTATTAAAGACTTAAATATTAGACCTGGATCTGTAAAACTGCTAGAAGAAAATAGAGGGGAAAGTCTCTATAGCCTTGGTCTGGGCAGTGATTTTTTTTTTTTTTTTTTTTGCTATGACCCCAAAGGCACAGGTAACAAAAGCAAAGTTAGACAAATGGGATCGTATTAAACTAAAAATAATGCAATAATATCCAAAAAGATAAAATACCTGAAAGTATATTTAACCAAGTATATTTTTTGGTAGTTTTCTGTAAAGAAAATAATCAAGAGTAAAGAGACAACCTACAGAATGGGAGAAAATATTTGCAAATCATATATCTGGCAGGGGGTTAATATTCAAAATATGTAAAGAACTCCTGCAACTTAATAATAAGAAAATAGGTGCAGGGAGTCGGGCTCCGGGCCGCCACCATCACCTCGGCCGCTGCAGCCGTTGCCATCGCCTTGTTCCCCCACCCTCCCACCATGGCCGAAGAGCTCTCCGCGGCCACATCCTATACCGAAGATGATTTCTACTGCCCAGTCTGTCAGGAGGTGCTCAAAACGCCCGTGCGGACTGCGGCCTGTCAGCACGTTTTCTGTAGAAAATGTTTCCTGACTGCAATGAGGGAAAGCGGAACACATTGTCCCCTGTGTCGTGGAAACGTGACTAGAAGAGAGAGAGCATGTCCCGAACGGGCTTTAGGCCTTGAAAATATCATGAGGAAGTTTTCTGGTAGCTGCAGATGCTGTGCAAAACAGATTAAATTCTATCGCATGAGACATCATTACAAATCTTGTAAGAAGTATCAGGATGAATATGGTGTTTCTTCTATCATTCCAAACTTTCAGATCTCTCAAGATTCAGTAGGGAACAGTAATAGGAGTGAAACATCTACATCTGATAACACAGAAACTTACCAAGAGAATACAAGTTCTTCTGGTCATCCCACTTTTAAGTGTCCCCTGTGTCAAGAATCAAATTTTACCAGGCAGCGTTTACTGGATCACTGTAACAGTAATCACCTATTTCAGATAATTCCTGTGACATGTCCCATTTGTGTGTCCCTTCCTTGGGGAGATCCTCGCCAGATAACTAGAAATTGTGTTAGTCATCTAAATCAGAGACATCAGTTTGATTATGGAGAATTTGTGAATCTTCAGCTAGATGAAAAAACCCAGTATCAAACTGCTGTTGAAGAATCTTTTCAAGTAAACATCTGAAGGCTGTAGACATCTTTGCATCTTTGTACCTGCAAGTGCCATCCTTAGGGGAAAACTACATGAAGTCACCGTTTCAGTAACTTGATGTGTATATTAATAAAAGTAATTCCATCATTTTAGGTTTTGATTGAAAGTAAAGGCGAGGCTTCTAAAAACTTCATCCTCTTGATAAGTTAAAAAATGAAAGTTATGACATTAGCTTTAAAAGCGTAAAAAAAGATATTTCACTAATGTAATGGTGAAAGAGAATCCCTGTTGTGCTTTATCTTTTTGTAATGCTAAATATTCTTGAATTTTTCATTATGTTGCTTTTGAAATTTGGTGCATTCCTCCCATTTACTTTATTATTGTACACAGATAACACATAGTAGCAAATTTTGAACAGTGTGATTTATATAAACCTAACAAATCTGAGCCAGTTATTAGAGTTGCAGAGTAGAAACTTGAAGTGCTAAATGGAATAATCCAAAGGAAATTTTTAAAATGCAGATTCTAGCTGAAAAATTCAACTATAAGAAAATTATATTCATATAACATTTACTATTTTTGAAGACTAGTGAGAGTTCTGTAGTAATTTTAATTCTTTAAAAAGTGAAAGCTTGTAAAGATATTTTGTTTTTGTTATTAGAAGGAAATAATGAGAAAAATTTATTTCTTTCATGGGCATTTGCTAATTTCAGTCTTACTTTGACTGATTTGTGAGCTTGGAATTTACTAAGCTGAATAACAGCTCGTTAGCCTCAGAATTTTCAATAGCCAGTATTTCTGATTAACTAAGTTGAAACTTTTATTAGAAACTTTCAGTTGGTGATACTGTATTACTGTATTCTACAAGATACAAATGAGAGATTTGGCTTCATCTCAGTTTAGAAATTTATTCAAAGCTAAAGATGTATATGTATGTATACATACACTTGTGTGTGTATATATATATATATGCACACATGTATGTTTGCAGTTTGTCAGGTTATATATAGAATTTCTATTAAGGGTTTTTAAAATGGACAAACAATAGGGGGTTGAAGTGTTTACCTGATTTGTTAAAATTCTGTATATCACCAAATTTTTAAAAAGTAACAGTCACATTGCTAAGTGATCTAGTTGGCTGCTATTACACCTTAAAAATTGTATAAAAAAGGTATATTTTGGTTTTGTTAAAACCCTTCTTGACTTTTCTACACTGAACATTTTTTTAACTTGATTTAATAAAAACGTTAATTTTGGAAGTGGAGTTTTGTAAAAACCTTTTTCAATCAAACAGTAATGACTTTATTTATGGATTATAATAACCACAAAAAAAGCCATATGTCTTAATGAACATATACCTTTGTTTTGTCATTTTATAGGGTGATGTTTACTATGTATGTGCTTGAGCATTTTCTCTGCAGTTACATGGGTGTAATTTTAAAAACAGGTCCTTTTAAAGAGACTTTTCACCATAGTTTTTTCCAGTTTAAAGCAATAACTTTCATAGTTTCTTTCAAAGTTTAATACATCCAGTATGTTAAGTTAAACCATTCTGGGATTTGGGAACTTCTTTAAAGGAAAATTGTAGTAGAGGTCATCTTGATGGAATTGTGTTTTGAAGTTTTGTGAATGAGCTAAGTATCACTGGTAGTTTTGTGTGCCTCACATATCAGCTTTTTCATAAGGAAAATACTGACTTTATTTGCTTTTATCTGGGAATTTCTCAATATGATTGTTTAAAATTTCCCCTTCTTTTGTTAGTGAGTTGGGAATACGGATAGACTTTACAGATTTAATTTAGGGAAATTAAATTTATGGGGAAAAGTTCTTATTTTTAATACTGCTTATAGCTGAATCAGGATTAAAGGAGGGAAACTGTATTGATACTCCAATACCTTAATTTCACAGTACCACTTAGGAAAACTATTTCAACAAATTACAGTTTATGTTGTTAAACAGTCTTATTTGAGATGTATTGCTTTATTTTTCAATTAAAAGTGGTTTTCTCCTAAAAAAAAAAAAATAAGAAGAAGAAGAAAACAAATATTAAAGTTGGCAAAGAACCTGAATAGACATTTCCCCAGTGAAAACATACAGATGGCCAACAGGTATACGAAGAAATGTTCAACATTACCAATCATCAGAAAAATTCAAATAAAAGCTATGGTGAGATATTGTCTCACACCTGTTAGAATAGCTATTACAAAAAAAAAAACAGAAGATATAGATATAGATATAGATATAGATATAGATATAGATATAGATATATAGCAAATGTTGGTGAGTATGTGAAGAAAAGGGAATTCTTCTATACTGTTGATGGAATGTAAGTTAGTAGAGCCATTATAGAAAATAATACAAAATTTCCTCAAAAAAATTATAAATAGAGCTACCATATAATGGTTAGGAAGAATCAACATAGTGAAAATGGCCATACTGCCCAAAGTAATTTACAGATTCAATGCTATTCCCATCAAGCTACCAATGACCTTCTTCACAGAACTGGAAAAAAACACCTTAAACTTCATATGGAACCAAAAGAGAGCCCGCATAGCCAAGTCAATTCTAAGCAAAAAGAACAAAGCGGGAGGCATCACACTACCGGACTTCAAACTATACTACAAGGCTACAGTAATCAAAACAGCATGGTACTGGTACCAAAACAGAGATATAGACCAATGGAACAGAACAGAGGCCTCACAGGAAATACAACATACCCACAACCATCTGATCTTCGACAAACCTGACAAAAACAAGCAATGGGGAAAGGACTCCCTGTTTAATAAATGGTGTTGGGAAAACTGGCTAGCCATGTGCAGAAAGCAGAAACAGGACCCCTTCCTGACACCTTACACCAAAATTAACTCCAGATGGATTAAAGACTTAAACATCAGACCTAATACCATAAAAACCTTAGAAGAAAATCTAGGCAAAACCATTCAGGACATAGGTGTAGGCAAGGACTTCATGACCAAAACGCCAAAAGCAATGGCAACAAAAGCCAAAATAGACAAATGGGACCTAATCAAACTCCACAGCTTCTGCACGGCAAAAGAAACAGTCAGTAGAGTGAATCGGCAACCAACAGAATGGGAAAAAATTTTTGCAGTCTACCCATCTGACAAGGGGCTGATATCCAGAATTTACAAAGAACTAAAGCATATCTACAATAAAAAAACAAGCCCATTCAAAAATGGGCAAAGGATATGAACAGATACTTTACAAAAGAAGACATACAGGAGGCCAACAAACATATGAAAAAATGCTCATCATCACTGGTCATCAGAGAAATGCAAATCAAAACCACATTGAGATACCATCTCACACCAGTTAGAATGGCGATCATTAAAAAATCGGGAAACAACAGATGCTGGAGAGGATGTGGAGAAATAGGAACACTTTTACACTGTTGGTGGGAATGTAAATTAATTCAACCATTGTGGAAGACAGTGTGGCGATTCCTCAAGGACCTAAAAATAGAAATCCCATTTGACCCAGCAATCCCATTACTGGGTATATATCCAAAGGATTATAAATCATTCTACTACAAGGACACATGCACACGAATGTTCATTGCAGCACTGTTTACAATAGCAAAGACCTGGAACCAACCCAAATGCCCAACGATGATAGACTGGATAGGGAAAATGTGGTACATATACACCATGGAATATTATGCAGCCATCAAAAACGATGAGTTCACGTCCTTTATAGGGACATGGATGAACCTGGAAACCATCATTCTCAGCAAACTGACACAAGAGCAGAAAATCAAACACCGTATATTCTCGCTCATAGGCGGGTGTTGAACAATGAGAACACATGGACACAGGGAGGGGAGCACTACACACTGGGGTCTGTTGGGGGGAAATGGGGGAGGGGCGGGGGTGGGGAGGTGGGAAGAGATAGCATGGGGAGAAATGACAGATACAGGTGAGGGGACGGAAGGCAGCAAAGCACACTGCCATGTGTGTACCTATGCAACAATCTTGCATGTTCATCACATGTACCCCAAAACCTAAAATGCAATAAAAAAAAAAAAGAGAAAATCAGTGTGTCAAAGAAATACCTTCATTCCTGTATTTATTGCAGCACTGGAATCAGTCTAAGTGTCCAAGATATGGAATCAATCTAAGTGTACATCAATAAATCAATGGATTTTTTAAAACTGGGTATGAGATATGTGTGTGTGTGTGTGTCTCTCTGTGTGTATACACACAGAGAGACACACACATGTGTGTATACACACAGAGAGACACACACACACAGTGAAATACTGTTTTCTCTTAAAGAAGAAGGCAATTTTGTCACTTAACAACAACATGGATAAAGCTGGAGGACATTATACTATGTGAAATGGGCGCAGACAGACAAATACTGTACGATCTCACTTATATGTAGAGTGTACAAGTTTTGAACTCACAGAAGCAAGAGTAGAATGGTAGTTACCAGGGGCTGAAGCGGGCAGTAGATGGGGAGACATCAATCAAACAATACAAAGTTTCAATTAGGATGAATAAATTCTGGGGATCTATTGTATACCATAGAATGGTTAATAGTAATAGTATGGTTAACAGTAATGCATTGTACACTCAAAAATTGCTCTGGAAGCAAATCCTAAATGTTCTCACTACAATAAAAAAATAAGTATGTGAAGTGATGGATATGTCAGTTAGCTTGGTTGTGGTAATCATTTTACAGTATATACATATATCAAAATATCACATTGAACATTGTAAATATATACAATCCTTATTTGTCAATTAGAAATAAAAATAAAATACTGAAGCAATAGGCCCATTTCATACATCAATGGAATTGTTGGTTGGCAACTTTCAATTTAGGGTAAGTGAACAGAAGTCCTAAAAGCCAGAATTAGGAATGAGTGTATATATCCACAGTGGTATACTGTCTCTCTACAAGTTCATTCAATTTTTTAAAGAAAAATTAATCCTTTTTGTTGTACCATCCTTCCCTAACCAGCTTATATAAAACAGTACCCCCACCCAGTGACTCTCTTTTTTTTAACCTGTGGCATTTCCTTCACAACCCTTACCACCCTCAAAACCATCTAATTTGTCTACTTGCTCATAGCTTATTTCTCCCACTATAGCCTAAGGTTCATGAGAGAAGGTTTTTTGTTTATGTTTTTTAATATATCTGATTTTCTATTGTATCCTTCATGCCTGGAACACTATTCGACACACAGTAGGTGCTCAGTAACTATTGCCAAGTTGATGAATTAATTATGTAATGAATGAATGAATGAATGAAAATGCTATGGCTGGACCACTACAATCTCAAGAAATAATTCACATACATTACA